TTTCTTAAACTTAAGGAATATCTCTTTACATTGTCACTGACGACAAATTTAATTGGATGCCTATTCAGGTTTAACAGTTTATTTGGAAACCATTTTGTCTCTGGTTTTACTTTTTCAACGCTGTAGGTTTTTGCAAAAAGATTAATCCTATGCATAATTGGCAAATCATCCGTTTCTTTTTCTTGCAAGTGTTCAAGAACTGTAGCGTCAAGAAAATCATAAAGCCATAAGTTTTCCAAGAGCTCTTTGTACGAAGTATATTCTGTTTGATGAAAAAAGTTAAACAAACACTTTGGATGCGAATAACCCTGTGACAAAGCTTCAAGTTCTTGTATTGCAGTATTTAACTGAAGTGCTAAATCATCCCGCTTCTCATTGAGAAAAAATACAAACAATGTCGTTCTTCTTGGTCGTTGTAAATGAGGTGGAAAGTGCTTTTTTAGATCAAATTTTACTTTCTCCAAACCAATGCTCAATGATGGGAAGTGTTCAGAAACATCTTGGATAAAAGTGTTGACCTTTGTACTTGTATTCAAAAATAATTGCTCATCAATGATAAACATTACCTGATAAAGTTGAGATTCTTCTTTTAGATACTTTATTAATCCATGAGTGTAATGAGTGTAAGCTGCCTCTCCTAGTATCACTGTCCGTGTAATTATAGACCAAAAACAGCAGTTTAAAAGAAGCTTCATTTTTTATTTAAATAACTATTTCTGTACACTGTATTATAAATTTTAACTCTCTAGTGATGCTATAAAAGTCCCACCTTTTTGGAATTGAAGCAGAGGAAGTTAATGCTTTAGGAGTTAATTTTATGCCTAGGGAGTTAGTTTTTAGGAGTTAATTTAATTATTAACTCCCTTCTTGAGTTGATTTTTAGCTCTAAAATTCAACTCCCAACTTTAGGTGCCGTTAATTTCCTAATTTTTTTACATTGTAGTGTACGAAAACATCCTTCACTTTTAGAAACGTTTGACTTTGAAGAAGATTGAAAAAGTTGTGTGTTGACTAATAGTTGCCAAGGAGCTTTTAAGCTGTATATATATTGTCAGTGATTTGATGAAAACAAGAGATAGTAACAGTCTGTTTCGTGCACATGTAATTTTGTCACGTCGTAAATACTTAGCAAAGCATTCATTATCAACCGAATGTATTTTTTATGTTGGCTTCAAAGGTAATTGTTTTTAGTTAATCATTTAAAAAGTATTGTAATTAATTAAAATAACAGCTATTAATGCAGACAGAGAGAAGAAGTGCCTGAATTTTTTCGGTTATAATATTACGAAACATAAATTAATTTTCCACATTAGGAATTTTGATGTAATGAAAATTTGAAAAGAGAAAAATAATGCCCTACAAATAAGACATGATTAGCTGATATGGTAAAAGAAAAACAGTTCATAGTTTTAAACCAAGTTTTTACGACGTTAGAAAATGACATGTACAAGAAACATAGATATTTTTACTATCTTTTTTCTAGATCAAATCGATGATAACATATACAGCTTAAAAATTCCTTAGCAACAAATAGCCAACACATAACATACACACTTTTAATATCTTTCTTTGCATCAAGTCGCTGATAATATACAGCTTTGAAGCTCCTTGGCAATTATTAGCAAAACATAACTTTTTCAACCTTCAACAAAGTAAAAAGTTTCTACAAGTGATTGATGCTTGCGTATACGTTAAAGAAATAGTTGTTTAAATAAAAAATGAAGCTTCTTTTAAACTGCTGTTTTTGGTCAATAATTACACGGACAGTGATACTAGGAGAGGCAGCTTACACTCATGGATTAATAAAGTATCTAAAAGAAGAATCTCAACTTTATCAGGTAATGTTTATCATTGATGAGCAATTATTTTTGAATACAAGTACAAAAGTCAACACTTTTATTCAAGATGTTTCTGAACACTTTCCATAATTAAGCATTGGTTTGGAGAAAGTAAAATTTGATCTAAAAAAGCACTTTCCACATCATTTACAACGACCAAGAAGAACGATATTGTTTGTATTTTTTCTCAATGAGAAGCGGGATGATTTAGCACTTCAGTTAAATACTGCAATACAAGAACTTGAAGCTTTGTCACAGGGTTATTCGCATCCAAAGTGTTTGTTTAACTTTTTTCATCGAACAGAATATACTTCGTACAATGAGCTCTTGGAAAACTTATGGCTTTATGATTTTCTCGACGCTACAGTTCTTGAACACTTGCAAGAAAAAGAAACGGATGATTTGCCAATTATGCATAAGATTAATCTTTTTGCAAAAACCTACAGCGTTGAAAAAGTAAAACCAGAGACAAAATGGTTTCCAAATAAACTATTAAACCTGAATAGGCATCCAATTAAATTTGTCGTCAGTGACAATGTAAAGAGATATCCCTCAAGTTTAAGAAAGGAATACAACAAATTTATAAGTTTGTTTGTAAATTCAATGCATTTGTCAATTAAAATTGTTCTGTACAACACAGAGAAAGAATCATCTATAACAAAACTCAACAAAGAGGGAGCAGACATGGTTTTAGATACTGTGGTAGTTAAAGGTGATCCACGAATGATTATTTGGTCGTTTAGTACCACAAAAGCAGTGATACCTGATATAAGAAAAGAAAGCGGAATTTTCGTTATTTCTCAAGAATTCTTTTACATGATTACTGCAACAGTGGTTCTAATTGCATTTGTGCGAATTACTGCTTTGTTGATGAAATTTGACTCGAGTACTTGACAAACATTCAACATCAGTCAAATAATAATGGGAATGTCAGTTTGCAGAGAACCTAGGCATTCAGCAGAAAGAATGATTTTTGGTATCTTTATGTTGAATTGCATTGTCTATTCAGGTTATTTCTTCTCCGTGATTTTGGACATTAATTATTGGGTAGAACCACAAATTTTGACTCTCGAAGAACTTGCAAATTCATCATTAACACCAATTATAACTTCTGACAGAAAATTCTTCTTGAGAACAAATCCCAATCCTTATATACAAAAGTTGGAAAGTAAATCTATAAAGTTTCCTGTATTCAATTTTAATTGCATGTTTTATTTAGTTAAACACCAAAATGTATCGTGTATTATGGAGAATGTTGAATATCATGTAAGTCGTATTATTGCAAAACAAAATGGATTGAATGTCAAAATTCTTCAGGAGCCTTTGATTATTTTACCGCGCACCTGGCTTGTAAGTATCGGTTCTCCATTTATTGATCGTTTTAATGAAATAATTCTAAGAGCATTAAATTATGGCTTACTAAAAAAGTTTCTCGAAGTTGATATAAGAAGAATTGATAAAATTGTAAAACCTGAAGCAATGGAAAAGGAAAAATTACTTTATATCCTTTGTTACATGTTGATTATTGGATATAGTTTTGCGATGATTGCTTTTATTGGAGAAATGATGAGTGTTATCAGATGGAGAAAAGTCAAATTCTTTTGTACAAGGTGCATTAATTTGGTTAGAGAAAAAATTCTTTGAATATGACAATGTTTTGGAAACTGTATCTGTATACGTTAAAACGGTAGGACGTGTTGTTTACATTGTCGAGAAGTTGATTATCATTTCGACGATAAATAAATGCTAAAATTCTCAGAATGCGGTTTATTGAATAAATTTTCTTTTTAAAGATTGCAACAAAATTAAGAAAAAAATATCATGAACTGAAGAAATCGGGAAAAATAGCTTCTAATTCTTTTTTACTTGATGGCAATTGTATATGTCTACACTTTCAGGATATTCGAACAAATTATCATCAGTTGGGGTAAAAGCAATATCTACTGTGAAGATTGCTTCAATATATTGTATAATTGAAAAATTTTAGTTTAACAGATGTTTTTTGTTGAATTAAAATACTATTTTTTTTATTTATGTACAAATGGGGGAAAGTGGTCAGCAGTGGATCAGTATGTTTAAAATTGACAACTATTCATTGTACAGATTCATGAAAGTGCTCAAAAATTTTTTAATTTAAATATAACTACAATTTAAAAAGAAAATTTCGTTTAAATCAAATATTCCGTTTTTTGTATTAACAAAATTTCTTTGATTCAAACAAGCTTTATTTAAATCTAATAAGTATTTCTTTGATTTAATTATGAGTTTGACTTATATTAAAAGAATGTTTCAAATGAAGAAAGAATTTGATTTCTGAGTATACGGTTTGAAGAAATAAAAATTGTTGTCCACTCCCTTCTAAATTGCAAAATATTTGCATACATCTTTAAAACTCATCGATTTTTTCTATTAAGGGGAGGGACCGCTGAAATTTTAACACATCAAAATTAAAGCTGTTTAAGGGTGGTCAATTTTTTTTCTGGCAATATTAATTATTTAAATGTATAATATATCATGAAAAATTGAAAAACTATAAATTTGTTAATAATTTTTAAAATCAAATTCAAAATTCTCGAAAATTTAAAATTTAAACTTCTCTCACAATTTTAATTATTTTTGACTGCCGATTTTTTTATACGCTTGTTTCATGATTCTAAACAATCAAGCGTATGGATTTTGAAAAATTTCAATTTTTTCAAAATATGAAAATTTTGAAAAATAAAAATATTTGTAAAATTGTTAAAAATTACCTTTTGTTGTTTTTCTCAGTAGAATAAGATTTTTGGTTGAAAAAAAAATGTTGAAAAAAATTATTACCCCTAAACAAGATCAATTTTGATTGCTTTCAATTTTAGTGGTAATTTTGAAAAAATTCAACTACTTCCACAATTTTCATTATTTTTTATTGGCGAATTTTTTTTACGCTTTTTTCACGATTTTAAACAATCAATCGTATGGAATTTAAAGAAATTTAATTTTTCCAAAAAATAAATTTTCTAAAATGGCTAAAAAAATTTTTTTTTTGAAATTTTAATAATTTATAATAATTTTGGATCCTAAATTATGCCAGAAAAAAAATTGACACTCTTTAACAATAATAACTTCAGTAGGCTGAAATTTCACCGGTCCCTCCCCTTAAAAGATATTCGAGGGGCTGTTCACTGAAAATCCAATTGAACAATATTGGAGAATTCATTAAAGATTTTTAGGACTCGTACGTATTCGGCTTCGGATTCGAATGGAATCGCACGGACTCGTTGATATTCACAGTATTTTCACAAATTCCTTCTTTGCGCTGCTTCGTGTTGCAGACTAGATAATAATAATAATAATAATAATAATAATAATAATAATAATAATAATAATAATCGGCTGCCGCCGAATTCGCTCGTATTTCTCCGTAACCATTCGTGACTCGCAACAATTCTTACTGCATGACTTAGGATTTTACTGTAATCGACGAGATTTGTTGGATTCGCATAGTATTCGACAAATTCGAACGTCCTTTTCAGTAATCGCCGGTAATCTCCACTTAAAATACAATTTATTCAGAATCAAGAAATTTATATTTTCTTATGTTAATTGATGAATATTCGGAAGATACCTAGTATATTCTCTACATTACAAATCGGGTATTTGAGAGTGAACAGCCCCTCGAAGATATTTTACATTTTAATATTACAAAAGTTACTAAAATTCAAAACAAAAAAAAATTAATTAAATAAAATTGAAAATTTTACAAAATATGATTTTTTTTTCGACAAAATTCTGTTGAATTTGTTTAATGTTTTTTAAAAAACATGAACCTATTTAAATATTCTAACAAGTTTATAAACTCAATGAATGTTGGATCGATAGTCTTATTTATGAATATATTTTACGACCTAGCCAGTGACAACAACGTTATTCGAGTTTTCATAATAAAAAATGTTACAAGGTTAGAATATTTTTTTTTTTAATTTTAACTTTTTAGAAAATTTCGAGAATTTAATTTTTTTTACACTTTAAGCTGAATTAAAAATATATTTGTCAATAAACAAATTGCACAATTATGTCAAATTAAGCCATCATAAAGTTGTTATTACACGAATAATATTTGCGTGTTTTTTTCACGATTCCATTTCCAAATTGATTTGAAGGTTTACTTGTAAAAAATTGCATTAAACATTTTTTCAGTTTCATTGAAACATTTTATTATTATTATTATTATTATTATTATTATTATTATTTATTTATTTATTAAATGCAAATCTGGTCAGTTTTAAAAATTTTATTCCTATACAAAAAGGGGAAATTTTTTTTTTTCAAATCAAACAATCAGATTATAATTTTTATATGAAGTTTTATGTTATAACATTAAATTTCCATTAAATACAAAAATAGTCATTTCTCAATGTAAGTACCTCATATATTAAATGACTTACGAGTTATATAGAAATAGATTAAACCCTTTTAAGTTATATCCAATTATTGTAATTAGTGAGAGTATTGGTATATAGAGGATTTTTTTTTTAATGAAAATCTTATTATATATACTAGTTTTTTTTTTTTTTTTTTTTTTAATAGATAACTTTTGCAGTCTTGTTATGTGTCACTGTATGGGATCAGTTGAGAGGGATAATAATCATTCGACTTGCGGAGTTTATATATACTTGAAGACTGCGATGAAACACTAATTGACAGAAAAGAGAGAGAGAGGGAGAGAGCTGCAGGCGTCGTCGTGCGCCGTTTCAACAAGTTGTAGGTATAATCCAATCGCTAAACGAGTATTTAAGCAACTATCAATCAATCGATGCGAAACATTCGAAAGCTTTCGTGTTGCATGCATAAATACAATATAAAGGAAAAAGCATTTTGACGTTCAATTCTTCCTCTTTTGCATTCATTTACATTTTATATATATATATATATATATATATATATATATATATATATATTCGAATCTTTCTCGATAACAATCAAAATGTTTATGTAAATAATATTCTGTCATTTTTTTTTTAAATATATAACCGTAACGAATTTAGATAAGCATTTATAACTTTATAATAGAATAAATGTTAATTTATTTCAAAATCTTCAATATTAATCATTTTAGATTCATTTATATTTAATAAATGTTTCAAAATTTTACATATATTGAACGTTTCAAACTTCCAAATAAAATGATCCTTTTGGAAGCATTTAAGAATCTTCGAAATATATTTTATATTTCAAAATATATTGACTATTTTCTAAAGTGTTCTAAGCTATGACGATTTGACAATAACCATTTTTCTTCAAGTTTAAAAATATAAAAAGAATATTGAATATCCATTTTAAAAAAAGGGGTTTTTAAAAATGAAGCAATTCATTTTTTTCAATTTTTTTTTATTCTTGATTCCTTATATAACTTCATTAAAAATGCATCAATTTTTTTTTTAATTGTATGTTTTATGTGAAATTTTCGAAAATTTAGTGCAAAATAGAAAAATAATTTACTATATTTTTTGCAATTGAATCGTGAATTTCGAAAAGGGCTCAACTTTGAAATTTGAAAATTTTTTCATAACTTACCCTATAAACGAAGAAAAGGACAAATTTTAGGTTTTTTTTTGGTATTTACCATGAAAATAATGTTCTTTTCTAATTTTTTTCTAATTACATATTATACAATAAATAAAACACTTGAAAATAATTTTAAAAAATCTCTCACCCATGGGGAATTGAACCCAGGACCCTTGAAACGAAAATTGAGTAATTTGTCCACACAGCCACGTTAACTTACAAATCTTTTATTTAACTAAATATTTAAAACTGTCCTTCTTTCTGCTTTTATCATAATAAAATATCAAAATTAATTTTAAATTTTTACACCTAATAGTAGTTTATAAAAAATATATTTAAAATATCCCGTAAAAAGTCTAAATTAAAATTTAATTAAATTATTTATTAAATCATCCCTAAACTAATTTGAAGTCAATAAAAATTTCCTTTAATTGATTATATATTGAAAAACAGTGAACAGTTTTACATTTTTTTTTAAACAAGAAAAACTGGAGAGGCCCTAAATAGGGCAAAGTGGGGCAATTTCTGTACGAAACTGAAAAACTAAGTATATACTTCGAAAAAAAAACCCTTTTTTTCAGTGTGAAAATTATTTGTATAAAAAAATGACAATTGTATTTATGGGATATTATTTTTTATATTCCAAGAGCAAGAATGATGGGAGTAAACGCGGATGCGAGTATAAGGTGAATAATGGAGTCTGATACTGGTTGGTTGAACATGAAGGAGAATTACGCATGGTAATAAGGTAATGCCATAAATCGTAATAGACGAGATTCGTTCTCTATAGACTCGTATAATACACGTTATATATATATATGATACATCGAAGATGTTGCTCTCGAGCGAGATACGACCTTGCATGGTCGTAGTGGCTGCACACAAGAAAAACAAGAAAAAAAAAATAAATAAAGAGAAAAAGCAATATATATATATAAGTATGAGAGAAATCATGTAGGTGTTAACATGTACTCTCGTTCATTCCCGTTCGATGCTCGATCCACTACCAACACGCAGACTATGCGGATAGGTCATGGAATATCCCTCCACATATTCTTGATATAGTCAAGAGAGTAATTCTTGCCAGTAACAGTTAATTCCCATATACAGGATAAACCCTTTATTAATCGTTTTTTATCCCTTTTTTCATGTTTTTTGTTTTTCTCCTACTTTTTTTTTCTCTTTCCCAAGTGCGAAAACCAACATGGGCCAATATTGGCCCAGCATTGTCAAATCGGGCACCAAGTCTTGGCAGACAATATTGGGCCAACTCTTGTGGTGTTAACTGCGGTTGGACGTCGGCAGCCAAGTATCAGACGCCATTACTGGGCCAATCTTGGCTGCCATTAGTGGCCCAGTATTGTCAAAGTTTAAAAAAGTTTAAAAAATTATAATAATTAACTAATTACTTCATTATACATTTATAATTCAAGTCCTGACAGAAAGGACAATTGTTTAAACATTTGAAAATTTGTAACGCTCGCGGGAATCGAACTCGCAACCTAACGCACCGAAGTCTAACACGCTAACCACTACACTATACGCGGATATGGGAATCTCAACACAAAAATGTTTTGATAAGCTGCATTTGAGGAACATTTCGGCCGTTAATGCGCCATTACTGGGCCAAGATTCGTTACAACTTTGGAAAAAATGACTTGTCAAAATAAATTCAACATTTCAGCCGTCAATGAGCCAATAATGACCCAGTAATGGGACAGAGTTCGTCTCAATTATGAAAAAGTAGAATTACCAAGTATTGGTGCCAATATTGGCCCAGTAGTGTGACGGAGTTTGGCCCAATTATGGAAAATTGGAGTAACTTAGACGCAGTGCCAATATTGACCCAGTAATGGGACAGAGAAGGCCCAATAATGGCAACTTAGAATAACTGAGAATTTTGTAAATATTGTCCTAATAATGGGACGGAGTTCGTCCTAATTATGGCAAATTGGAGTAAAAGAGATGCAGTGCCAATATTGGCCCAGTAATGGGACAGAGAAGGCCCAATAATGGCAAATTAGAATAATCGAGAAATGGTGCCAATATTGACCCAATAATGGGACTGAGTTCGATCTAATTATGGCAAATTGGAGTAACTTAGATGCAGTGCCAATATTGGCCCAGTAATGGGACGGAGAAGGCCCAATAATGGCAAATTAGAATAACTGAGAATTCTGTAAATATTGTCCTAATAATGGGACGCGGTTCGTCCCAATTATGGCAAATTGGAGTAACTGAGACGCATTGCCAATATTGGCCCAGGAATGGGACAAAGAAGGCCCAATAATGGCAAATTAGAATAACTGAGAATTTTGTAAATATTGTCCTAATAATGGGAAGGAGTTCGACCCAATTATGGCAAATTGAAGTAACTGAGACGCATTGCCAATATTGGCCCAGTAATGGGACAGAGAAGGCCTAACAATGGCAAATTAGAATAATCGAGAAACGGTGCCAATATTGTCCCAATAATCGGACGGAATTCGACCCAATTATGGCAAATTGGAGTAACTGAAAATTTTGTAAATATTGTCCTAATAATGGGATGCGGTTCGTCCCAATTATGGCAAATTGAAGTAACTGAGACGCATTGCCAATATTGGCCCAGTATTGGGACAGAGAAGGCCCAATAATGGCAAATTAGAATAACTGAGAAACGGTGCCAATATTGCCCCAATAATCGGACGGAGTTCGACCCAATTATGGCAAATTGGAGTAACTGATACGCATTGCCAATATTGGCCCAGTAATGGGACAGAGTTCGGCCCAATAATGGCAAATTTGAGTAACCGAGAATTGGTGCCAATATTGTCCCAATAATGGAACGAATTGATCGCCAGTACTGGTCCAGTAACGTTTGCCATATTTGGGCAGACATTACTGGGCCAATGTTGGGCCGTATTGTCAGTCTTGGCATTTCGCACATGGGTTATTGTTTACACGCATTTCTAATTTTAGTTTGTGGAAAATTTAATTTTCATATTTATTTAACAGAAAAAAATTGTTTTATTTTAAGTTTAAAAGGCAAATTTTTTTTTAAGTTTAAAAAAAACCTTTTAGGGATTTGATCAGAATTCCTGGCCAAAACCCCAAAATGAGGCATTGACGAGTTTCTAAAATAGGGCTGTTAAAAAGTGCAAACGTTTTTTTTGGGGATTTGACAAAAAATTCCTATAGCTGAAAACTTAATTAGGATATTAACTATAGTTTTCAAATAGGACTCTGATCAGTGCCTTGATAGTTTTTCTAGTTCAAAGAAAATTTAACAAAAACTAAGGAACTTAAAAAAACATTTTATAATATTGTTTTTAATAATTTTTATACTTTAAGGATTTGACTATATAATTCCCCGCTGAAACAGCACTAGTTTTTAAACAGGGCCCTAATGAGGGCCTCGTCAGTATTCCTAGTTTGAAAAAAATGTTTTTTGTATATTTAAATAAAATTTAAAAATCGAGTTCTCTATCGATATATAAAAATAAGTGATTGTCCAATATCAAGATGGGGAAAAATTAGAAATGACGCGAAGTCGATTACATGATTTTCAGAGCAGTTACGCAATAAGAAAGCAGCTATTCTTTCCTAATTGAAGAGTTACAAAACGATCAGATTCTCGAGTCGATGGCTAAAAGTTGCTGTTAATGGCGCTAAGAGGGTCTCGTGAGTCACATTCTTAAGTGAGTTGTGGGTTGAGCGCGCGGAAAAAGGAGCGGAATCCCCCGATAGAGTGTGTATCTCCTATATATATATATATATATATAGAACGCAAACTTATTATTATTGTATAAAAAAACAAAAATGAAAAAAAAAATTTCACCCAAGGTTTTGCGAAAATATAATGTAAAATAAGCGATAGTAAAGAACGTTGTGACATTATTGGTTTTTAAAAATATATATATTTTTTTAAAGTGTGTGTTTTGTCTTTGTATATATATATATATACAAGATTCGATTGCAACGATCGAGTGCACCTGCCCTTCTTCATTTGTTACCCGTGGAGTCGCCCGGCTGCGCCAGATCGATCTCTGTCCCCTTAAATCAACAAGCTATAAACTTTCATTACACCTCGGGCGAATGGCGCGCAAAGAAATTCTTGATGAGGTAACGATCGCAACAGATAATTAGATGATCAAGCTGTTTTAATGGCTCATGTTTGATGAATTAAAAAATTTCCCTCTCCCCAATTTTTTTTT